AGCGAGAGTGAAAGGCATTCCTCTAGAGAAAGGCAGAGAGAGTTAGAGAGAAAGAGGCACCTCAAGAGCTAGCCAGATAGAGCTGCTGAGAGAGGGAGAAAGGGAGCGTATTGCACTTTCCTCTGGATTGAACGATCGATTATGTCACCTATATATATATATATGTATATATATATAGTCGTCCGATTTTAATTAAATTATAATTATATATATAAATTTAATTATATTTTATATATAAATTATATTAAATATGTATATAATTACTAATATCATTTTCCATACCTTGAAGATATAAAACCCATCCTAATAAAATTATAATACACAAATTTTAATTTCTACAGAAACTGTGACTGCTGTTGCTATATAATTTTTAGAGAAAGTGTAATTTTTCCAAGTGTAGCCGTGCCCAGTCAGGTGTGCGGGCGGTAAGTAACAATGAGTCGCCAAAAAAATGCCCAACAGAGCGAGTGAGGAACAGCAAGAGATCTGAGAGGGTCAGAGGAGGAGGAGGAGGAGGAGGATCAACTGCATCTCCAGGTTCCTAGGGGTTCACTCACTTTCACCGCTCCCGCTGACCCGCTCACCCTAATCAATGTCATCAGCTTCACGCTTCCATATTTCAGGCCCGTCGACAGCGGTCCTTCGGTGCCGATAAGCCGGTAACCACCTGTGCTGGCCCCTAATCCTGTCATCCATAAAGTAACCAAGTTATTAGCTCATTTCGATCCTTAATGCTGTCAACCTTATCGCCGGATAATAGTAGGAACATTTTAAAGAGGGAAAGGAAACTATATACTTGACTTTTGCCTACATAATTAGTGTCACTTTATACTAAAGCAATTAATAAGTTAAATATTTTCGAATAAAATAAACTGAGGTAAATAAATACGCTTTATTTTACACATTCCTTAAGTTTCTGCATTTTCAAGACCTCCCTTTAATTCACAAAACACCCTTATTAATTAGCCTAAGCACCCTTAAATATAATATCAATAATAAAAGTACCAAACAAAAGTATAAACCAATAAATGGCCAAGAGTCATAACATAAAAACTAGGACTAGCCCAAAAATTAAATGGTGGAATCAAGAAGGCCACAAGAAGCGTAGAAAAAACAAAAAGAAAACCAAACTAGAATCGGCTTAACGGACAACAGGGATAAATACAATAAAATGGTAACATTATTCTGCCATAGGGAAAATCGTGAATAGATTTTGTTATACCCGAAAAAAAAAAGAAAGCTCTAATTTTCCAGTTTGTGTGTCAGCGATGCGTCGTTAAACTGTAAAGGACCGTAAAAAAAGCGAGTCATAAAAAAATGAGAATAGAGACTCCAATGAGACCAGGACGAGGACGAGGACATGGGGGTGGCAGGCGAGTAAATCATTTTACAATGGGCCATAGGCCGCCAACGGCTTTATGGCTCTTATGAAGGACAATCAAGTAATAGCTGGCGATTTTAACGATGACACAGAACTACATAATAAAAGATAAGCTACTGTCCATCGGTGGCCATCGGTGGCGGTGCCTCCGGAACTCAACAAGCTCGGCCTAATGCCCAAATCGTTACATTTGGCACGCCAATGCCGGCGATGCATGTCGGCAATCACTCTTCCGCCAGTTTTCGAATCCTCTGACATTTTCAATTTTCCTGCACCTTTGCTGGTGTGTATTCTATATGTAGATATATATACCTGAACACATATATATATTTGTCAGGATATCAGAATTGACGCATAACACGCACAGGAAATAACCCTGTCAGGCCTTCAAATAATATGCATAGAGTAAGTCCTCAAAATCACCTGACTGTGGGAATTTATTTTTAGGGGTTTTGTTGTGCAGCTTAAATATTTTAAAACAAGTCTAAAAATATGTATTATTTATTAGAAATATATTCAAAGCAAAGGTAAATTAATAAATTATATAATAAACAATTCCCATATCCCCATTAAATATCCTCTGCAGACTCTACAAATAAATTAAAATGTGTCTGAATAATATGACATAAAAATTAATTTACCAATGAAATTATTTAAAGATTTAACTGCCTTCTTTTAATCTTATTTAGCAACATTTTCAATATCTAAAAATTTCACAGAACATACCTAATCCTTTAGATAAACGAAAGCAAAGTCCAGAAGCCTTAATTGTCATTTTGGTAAGGTACGGTTCCATCGTGACCGAATCTCTTCCATTTTGAATGAACTTTTCAATTTGTCACTTGGTTGGACAGAAGGGCTTTAATGTACTGGAGTTTTGTTGGTGGAAAAAACCTTTTGCCCAACTTGATTGACAGTAATGACATTTTCACGATTCGCCGGGCGGAAAACACTGAAAAGCTGAGCGCTGGCACGACACCGAGACAGTCCCCATAGTCAACGACCACCGTCGACATACAACCCAGCAGTCAATAATAAAAATTGCATGTTGAAAAGACATTTGGGATTCCAGAAGTCACACACACACAGTACACTTGGTCGTCTCCATCGCAGCGGAAGCAACAGCAGCAGGAGCAGCAAGGATAAGCAAGGAGCGGAGCGGTTGACACCCTGGTCCCGGGGTGGCCCCCAAATGGAATCCAGAAACCCTTTTTGGCCTCGGGCTTCGGGGATTTCCAGTTAATTTATTTTTGGTTAATTTCTTTCGTTAGTTATGTTAGTGCCGCCTGCTTTCCCCGGTGAAAGGCCATGGCCTCTCATTTATTGCACATTGGCAGGAAACTTTCTGATTTACTTTAACGGAGAAAATAATGGAGAGAGAGAGAGTACGGAAAGCGTTAATTGTTGACTGGGGTTTACCCAGGTCACGACATATATGTATATAAATAAATATTAATATATTTCCTCATTATATTATCCTTATGTTTTCCGAAGCGTTTCTCAACAAAATAATAAATAGCTACAAAAAAAGTTTAATCAAAATAAATACGTTTACTTTAAGGGAATTTTTAATATAACCATTTAACTTCTGGTATACCTCCGAATTTAAATATAATAAAATCTCTCTACAAAACAGAAAGTAACTCTTACAAATTTATGTAAGTTACGTAAATTACACATTTTATCTCATACTCTTAAATACATTTTTAAGGAATTAAGACTTCTGTACTTTCGACAATCCTTTTTTTAACTTATACCATAAATTTAAAAACAATTCCTATTAAAACCAAACCAAAATCCAAAACCAAAGATTTAAATCTAAGTAAATACCCATTTAAATATAAACTAACTCTGCCAAAACTATAAAAATAAAAGTTAAAAAGAGTATAAAAAGCTTGGTCTCAATTTACAACCCTAGGAACCATTTTAAAAAGAAAACAAATAAGAAGAAAAAATATATATTAGCTATAATTTGAAACATAAATTTTTTTATTGCTGCTCGCAATCATTTAATCATCTCGAGTCATCAGTTCCCGCTGGATGGGTGTGGATTGGGAGTGGGTGTGGGATTGGGTGTGGGTGTGGGTCTGGGACTGGGAGCTGGTGGTGTGCAAGGAGTGTGCTATATAGTGCTCTCCGATTTTGGGTGGTGTAAAGTGGCGGGAGGATTGCTCTTTGCCGAAGGAACCAAGTCCCAAGAACGGGGAATAGCAAATTTCGTCGCGCCTCCCCATCGACCATTTGACACATGTGTCACTTGCAACCGTTCCGCTTGTTAGCTGAGTGCCAGTAATGCCAAATCAGCTAGCATTTAAATTTTTTAAATTATTAAAAAATATATAAAAAATATCAGAGGAAGATATAAGTGTCTAGGAATTATTAAGCATTAAATTCAGTGAAGAATTAAATGATTTCTACTCTAAAACTTTTTCTATTTCCCCACAGAATAGTTATTATTACATTTTTAATATAACAAATCAATGTTTTTGTAATAAACATTAGTTAAATAATATATTGAAATATTTTTTAAGCTATATTTCCACCAGATTTAATTATATTTCACACACCAAATCAACATCTCCGATGTCTGAGAATGGGATCTCCCCGGAATGGGCCTGGTGAGTGCGAGCCGGAGCTGTCGCTGAGCCTTCGGTTGACAGCTGTCAGTGTCAGTTTACATAATTTATAGATTTCAGCGCATAAAAAAGTCATAAAATTTACAATGTTGCCTTTCAACAAAAACACATTCGGGCGATTCTTCTGATGCCTTATTTTTATGAGGCAAGACATCAATTTTCGCACAGCAACACAGAGCACACACTCTAGCCAGCCTGCCTACAGCTACACTAAACACACACACCGAACACACACCACACACACACTTACCATTTATATTTCTCAATTTTCCATTCCTCGAAATCAGAAGGAAAAGATTGTTTGTATTGCCATTGCCATTCGAAATGCTTTTGATTTATTTGTATTTATGTGATTCCCTTCTCATATCCAGCTCCAGCGATAAATTCTCGCACTCAACAAAAATATATATAAACGATTTATAGTTGCACAAAGCGAGGCAAACAATAACTACCAACAAAGCGCAGTGGTAGGAAAAAAAGCAAAGAATATGACTACCGAAAAGCCGTTTCAAATGGAAAAATATAAAGGATTTTGATGCTGAATAAATCTTGAACAGAAAAACCATTCCACATTATAGCAGTTGGTTGTGATTAAATCATATCCGTATATATCAGAACTTTTATAAGCAATAAATACGTTTCAAGAAATATATATTTTATGTACTGATAATATTGAGGAGGTAATAAGTTGGTCTCTGCTGGGAACATATAGATATATCCTACCCTGTAAGGGTATATACTACCCTACAAATCAATCAAAGGATATCGTTTCATTTTAAACAATAAGTTAAAACAAGAAATTTATCATAAATCAATGTTTTAAGTTCTTGGAACTGTAATTTCCTCAATTTATTATATTCTGAATAATAGTTTTAATCCTTTGAAAGCTAATAAAATTGTTCTAGAAGCTTTAATAAAATCAAACTAAAATAGCTTGCCTTGTAATTTGGTTTACAATTTTCCAAATACAAAACTAATTTTATAAAGACGGCTTTGATTTTGTAGTAAATCTATGCTTACTCAGCTTGCAACAAATAAATCTCTGTGAGAAGGTTAAAAATCTGTACAGATTAAGAATCGATAAGTGGACCAGTCGCAGTTCTTTTAAGATCACATAATTGTAAGAAGAGTTGGTATCTAGAGTATCGAGTATCGTTATTCCCAGTTAATTTATACAGATTCACAGCCAAAATGTCGCATAAAGTTGAGGATAAAGATAGACCTTCCTATGCTTATTTCTTTGGATCCATGGGAGCAGCATCGGCAATTGTCTTTTCATCCTTGGGAGCTGCCTATGGAACAGCCAAATCAGGAACCGGAATAGCAGCCATGGCAGTGATGCGACCGGAACTGATCATGAAGTCCATTATACCCGTGGTGATGGCGGGTATTATAGCAATTTACGGACTTGTTGTATCCGTATTGATTGCCGGAGCACTGGCGGATAATTATACTATACGTAAAGGATATATCCATCTGGCCGCAGGACTGGCTGTGGGTCTATCTGGACTGGCAGCGGGTTTTGCCATTGGCATTGTGGGTGATGCCGGGGTGAGGGGCACTGCCCAGCAGCCACGCCTCTTTGTGGGCATGATTCTGATCCTCATCTTTGCCGAAGTCCTGGGTCTTTATGGCCTCATTGTGGCCATTTATCTGTATACCAAGTGAATAGGGGAATAAAGAATGTCTAAACTCTGCCCAAAATAAATATTAATTATATGCGAAATGTGAAAAATGTAAGCTGAAATTTGTGAAATCCCAGCTTGGGGAATACACTTTACCTTTCCGCAAAAAGCAATCAAGAGTCTCCCCCACTTTGCCTGTGACAAATCTGTGCCAACTTAACAATCACATCACACGAACGCAAAGCCACTGACAAAGTTACAAGCTCCCTCAAGGAATATGCGGAATATGTATTCAAAATGCAAAGCAGCCGACTTGGGGCCACAAATAAAAGTGACTGCCATGGTGGGTGAGTGGGTGAGTGGGTGAGTGGGTGAGTGTGGAGGAGCAATTGAAGCCCCACAAACAATTCCGCCTGGTGGTGAAAAAAATTTCCATTTTAAGGAAACGAAAAGGAAGCTACACAGGGGTAGAGGTTTATTCCTGGGACTTTCCAAAGTGTCGCCTTTCTAAGCCCCGCTAGTCGTTTCGGGCTCATATTTTCCAATTTGTTTAATTGAAACAAGTGGAGGGTAACACTCTCCCCCTCAGAGAGTAACCGCAGTTTCGATTTTCAATACCAGAAATGTGGGCCTGTAAATATCTAGTAACCCTTGAAAGGCAGGCACAAATATTACAGAAACTTCAAAAAATAGTACAGCAATTCAACTTTTGAAAGTGAAACATCATAAAGAATATAATAAGCCATCAAGATATATAGAAATTCTTCAAAAATGCCCAACGCTGGTGAGGATGAAAAGTGTCCCTCCTATGCCATATTCTTTGGTTGTATCGGAGCTGCATTGGCAATTTCATTGACAACTTTGGGAGCTGCTTATGGTACGGCTCGTTCTGGTATTGGAATCGCCTCAATGGCTGTGACTCGCCCCGATATGATTATGAGAGCCATTATTCCGGTGGTAATGGCCGGCATTATTGCCATATATGGTTTAGTGGTTTCCGTTCTGATTGCCGGATCGTTGAGCAATAACTATACGATGGAGAGTGGTTACTCGCATTTCGGTTGCGGACTATCTGTGGGATTGCCAGGACTGGCAGCAGGAGTGGCCATAGGAATTGCCGGAGATGCTGGTGTCCGGGGATCTGCTGCCCAGCCGCGTCTGTATGTGGGCATGATTTTGATACTGATTTTTGGCGAGGTCTTGGCTCTCTATGGTCTCATTGTAGCCATTTATCTGTTTACTAAATAATAAGAAATATTTATATAAATAAATACCTCCGTCTCGCTCGCAAAGGTGTTGCATTGCCAAAGGTGTGTGTTTATTTCTATTTACTTTGCTTCCGCATAAAAATGTTCACGATTTGTATGTGTTTATTGTGTGGCCACGTGTCACTTTTGGCATCAGTCTTTTTCAGTCCCAGAGTGTGTGTTTGCATAACAAATATGATAACAGAAAAAATATCGATTCGATTTAGCCGCAAATCCCTTGAGCTCCCCCACCTCATCGAATCGAATGTAATAAACGAAAAATTTGCAAATTTACTTAAGGATCCGAAGGATTTATGGGTTCACCTTCCTGCAGATAATTGTTTTCACTTCCGCTGCCATTCAATGAACTTTTAATGCTGAAATAACAGTAAATGTGACGAGTGTGTGGGTGGAGTGGGTGGTCTTAAGAAACCTCCCCCGCAAAACTGACAAAGTGCTTAGCGAAATGGGTTTATTAAGTGCAAACACTTTGCACAAATGGCTGGCAAACAAATAAATATGTATTTAGGCAGAAATGTGTGGGTGGGATTGGAGTGGAGGAGGAGCCTCTTTTGGGAATTATGCTCAAAAGCATCCATTATTTTATGTCTTTTTTACATAATGCTGGAAATGTAAGAAGATTTCTTATAAAGGAAATAAAAACGAAGAATAAACTGAACTCCTGCTCTTTTGGGAGATATTTCAGAGGTACAATCAATAAATTAAAATAGTATATAAACTACTTTCTAATTAATCAATAAATCTTTATGCAAATTTAAATTTTTAGTAAAGTAACAAAATATATATTCCTCTCTTTAATTAATCAATTAATCACGAAACAAACTTAAAAAATAATTCAAAACTTTACCAGTACCCAAAAGGAAAATCAAACAAATCCAGAGAGCAACCAAAACCAAAATCAAATCGAAATCAAGAAGCAGTTTGTCAGTTCCGCAGTCTTGACCAGAAATTGTCCTGTCATACATCAAAAGTAGATCAATATATAAGGCAAATGCCAGTTTAGGCCATGTTTCTTCCGGGGGATGGGGGGCAGAAACATTTGTAAGATGGTGGTAAGATGGTAAGATGGCTTTTGGCTGAGGGACGACGATTTGTTATGGACGAAAATGTGGTTTCCATTAAAACTGAAACACATCAATTGCGGTCGACAGGCCAGAGAGACCGGAGGCCAGAGGCCATTCGACTTTAATTTTAATACCCCTGACAGATTTTCCTATTTGCTCTCATATACCCCACTCCATTCTTCGAATCTTTATTCATTCATTCATTCAAGCAAACACCCATTGACTAACTCAAAGTCATTCGTTTTTGGCCATACTACCATCATCATTATTATCAGCATCTTATGATTTTGGATAGTTAACTTAAATGGATAAAGCACTTTGACTTTGAGGAAGTCTTGTAAATTGAGCAAGACTTAATATATTTAAGGGGTATTTCTTGATGAAAATATATACAAGAAAATATATATAATATATACAAGAAACCCTATACTGTATTTCCCAGATTAGCTTTAGCTGAGAGTAACTGACTTTCGGTTTTCGTTAGCAAAACCTTTGCCCTCGATGGACTTAATTTCATTTTCGTATTTCTGTGGCTGAGTATCCAATGATTTGGAAACAATTTATATATTGTATATATATATATGTATATATGGTGACTATGGCTGTGGACTGGGTATGGTTATATTATGCTGGGCGACAAGGACATTTATTTCTTGCTGATTTCATTTTTGGATTCCCACCAACCCACACTCCAGTTCTGCTACTCTCAATAAATACGAAATAAACACTAAATGTGTAGTTGCCTTTTCTTCTTTTTCCATTTTCCTCCCTCTCTATATATATATATATATATTTTCTTCTTTTTTTCTGCTGATTGAAGCTTTTCCTGTTGGCAACACCTCAGAGGGCTGACTTTTGTCCTTTGCCCGTGGCATGTTTGTCCCCAGCGTTTCCGTTTTTACGCCCCCGAACCCCGAACCGCATTTTCCTTAGCGAATTTTCCCCTGACTCCCCCTCTTGATTTTCCCTCCCCCTCTCCATTCATCAGCGCGTGCTTGTGTTGTGCTGTTTCCTTTGCATTGAATTATTTTTCTCCTGCCTCTCCTTGGCATCGCACATTTCCCGGTCTCCGTTTTCCTTTGACCTCTGATATCGTCCGAGTGGGTTTTCATATCTGTCGCCTTCATTTTCTTATTTTCTTCCTGTTTTCTTTTTCTTTCTTGTTGTGTGGGGCGTGTTGAGGCGATGTGTTAAATATCTGCCAAATGAAATCACGATAGCAAGCCAATTTTAGTTTTGCACACCAAACACCTGTTTAGTGTCTCAGAGATACTTCATTAAACTGAAGATATTAGTTATGAATATGACTTAAAATATAAGTCTTGAGATTCAATCTATCTATTCTAATTTTATATCATTTATTTAATATTTTATATTTTGTATTATTCCATTTTATTCCCTTTGTATGGACAACAATTAAAATATTTCCAAAGATGTTGCTTTTATATAGAGTTCCTTATTGGTTTACTTTATTTATTAGGAGAAAAAAACATCAAAAAAATACCTTTAGTTATTTATAACTATCAATATTATTTAAAGCTATTAACTTTTACTCATATAAACCTATATTTCCCTTCCTAATAATCACCTTTAATTATATCCTCCTCCGCTTTATATAATCTCTTTTCGGGTTATGATAAAATCCTGACATAAATTATTACTACAACAATGCGATTCCTATATCCTTTTGTATGTGAGACAGACGTTGGTCATTTAATTTAGTTCCAGGGTCACTGATTTTCACAATGGAAAAGTCCAACGAAGTGGCAAGTCGAAAGCAATCGCCAACTCAGCAAAAAATGAAAATGCTGTGCTTCTCTTGATATCATTTTCTTATTGCGCACACTGGGCTTGATTTTTTTTACTTTTCTTTATAAGAATGTAGAAATTTCAAATGTTATAAGAGTCAAGATAAAATAAAGATTTAATAAATATATATTACCAAAATAAACCTAATCAGTGCTTATTTAGCTGACTGAAACTTTGATGAATCTTTATTTTGTTTATAGACGTTTGTTGCTGAATGCCTTTATAAATATATAGAAAATTCTTTAGGAACTTCTATATATATATATTTGAAAAATGTATATTTTTAGCATTTATTAAACATTTTTTTAAACTTCTTACCAAATCAATGTTTTATTACCCCATTCAGCTCCTGTTTTTCCGATCGCTATGAACTGCTGTTGGCAGTAAAACCCACATGGAGTTAACTTAAATTCACAGTCAGTCATCGTCCTGTGACAGTGGGTGAGAGTCAATCTACGGCAATTCGCTCAAAATCAAATTTATTTGCGAACCGCACAGAAATTATGAGACAGCGTTGGGGAAGGACTCTCTCCACATGTGCGTTTTATTGCATTCGCTGTCGTGGCACATATAGTCCTTACACACATATACTACACATATACAGATATATATGTGGACGATGTGCGTGGGTCCTGAGAGATCCTTTTGCTACTCCCTCTATAACTATTAAGGTTGTCAACGCCCTCCTCAGAATCTGTTCTCAGCAGCACAGACAATGGGTGGATGCTTTTGTACGTTCGAGTATTTTTATTCATTCTATTCCCTCTTTTTTTTGTATTTTATTTATTTATTTCGCTTGCCGGTTTGTCCACCCTCCGGAGCATTTGAAGAAAAATAAGATTTTTATTTTATGCTCACAGTATGTTGTAAATCTTGTCGCTGCTGCTGATGAAACGAAACGAAATTAAGAATTTTTTTTTATATCTCCTTCGCAATTTCTGTAATAAAAGAAATGCCAACCGGGATGACGATGAGGACGAGGACGAGTACGAGGACGAGGACAAGGATGGCAGTGTGGATGGAGTCAGTTTCTAGGCGAACCGAATGCCATCCTGCCCCTGCCCCACATTCATTATGAAATCATTTGGTATTTATTATTTCGTTTATGTGGTTCCCATTGGAGATATTGCCTTCATTTGCCGCGTTGTTAGTGGCGACTGTGGAGGAGCATCACCAGCGGGCAGGAAGCATCCGTGGAGGAGACGCTACCCAAAAGAATTTGGAGCCTTTAAAAATGGAGTTTCAATGGATCCTTAGATATGAAGAAAGGGGTCACTAGCTGAAAATCAATCTAGATACTTTTTGAATAATATAAATATATCTCAAAATACGATTTCCATTTAAGAAAATTAAATTTATTTATAAGAGTCTTTTTTAAATCGACTCTGTGTTTCATGCTGAACAAGAATATATATGGTTTATAGGGTCGGAAATGATTCCTTCACAGCGTTTCATGCATCTGACTGAAGTTATCAAAAATAATATGTAAGGGTATAAATATGAGTATTGCTAATTCTAAGTTAGCATCGAACTACTACCTTATCATACAAATACTTAAACTTAAATCAGTTAGCAAAATAAATACTGAAAAGGTTTTTTAACTAGAAACTAAAACATGTGTAAACTAAAGAGCTTTCTACTTGTCTTTTGTAAATATAAAAATAAAATTCATTTAAAAAAGTAACCCATTTTATCTCAGTGTTTTATACACTAAAGCACCCTGGTTTCCCTGGTTCGAATGCATACCTGAAATTCTTTCAAATCGGATGTTAATTCAGGAAAACTATGAGGTGTGTTGTCGAGCACCATTCTGCAATCCCAAGGGAATGAATGTCCTTCCTTATCGTCCTCCTCCTCGTCCTCCTCCTCCTCCTACTCCTCCTTCTCCTCATCGTCCTTCTGCTCCTCCTGGTGCTGCCGTCAATCTTATAAAATCCCGCATTCCCTGCTCTTAACCCTTTTCCTCGTCCATTAACCCACATTCTAACACCCCCACTATGCTGGGGGATCAGTCTAAATGTTTTTGTGTAAACACGAAAGTTCGACCAAGGGCTCGGGCGCCAACATTCGTCCTGTTTTAGCCCATTCCTGCTCCCTCCCCTTCCCT